TGTACTACTAGTACTACACAGAAGTGAAATAATCACATTTATTATCTCTAACATTTACAGTGCTCATTTAAAGTTGCATGTTGATGGCCCACATTGGCAACAGGAATATTATTGTAAGAGACTTTGTGTATGATTTCAGAACTGTTGTACGTTTTAAATTTTAGCCACAATCTTCAATGTCAGCATTAAAACTAACAGTGTACTGTACTAATTACTACATAAATGTAAAACCTACTGGCTCAAATTGCTATTACATAGTTCAGACCCATAAGTTGTACAACTGTGCTGGTGACAAATTCTTTCACCATATAACATTTACAGTTCTCTCCTGTAAGTTGTAACAGTGAATAGATTTAGCTATATATTTACAACAGAGTAATGTGGAATATTATAATCTCTTGGAGAGTGTACCATATTTTTGCTGTGTTTCTTTAGAAATAATATTGTTAACAGTGGTTAATGTATAATAATTTTAGTATCCAAGCAATGCAAGCCAATACATGCTAGGAATTATATTGGATTAGATCTTTTGTTGGGCAGAAATATAGACTTTTCACAATCATGCACTTTTTAAAAAGACTTAAATTTACCACCTATTAAATCTTAAACCCTTATAAACTTAAATCTCTACTTTAACTTAAGTTATAGATGACCACAGTCTGGTAATTTTTTTAGAGATAATTATTGATATTAAACAATTTGACCAGTTATTGAAGGATGAATGTTTAGTATACTAATTTGAGCAGTGATGAATAGTTTGTTTTGTGATGAACCATGGTGCACATAACACGTGAGTATATAGGTATGTCTTCAAGCCTTAAATAGTTATAATTCAGTTAACTCATTCAGGTAACTGTAAAGTGTGAGACTTGTGCAATATATCAAATTCATGTATGCATGAAGATATACAGTGTACATGTATAGCTTTAAAATTTGGTGGTAGAGCACGAGAAAGTGTTATAATAAATTTGTAAAATTTCTTGTAAAAATATAATTTTAAGGCTTTGCTTATCTTGTAACTTTCATGGAATATAAAACTTTTGATGAAGAAATTGACTTGTGAAAAAATTTAGACATGCAAATGTGAGGAGTAGAAATGAAAAATTAATGAACAGTTACAGGTTTTTCATACAGTACAGTTTTTATAAATAGCTATTTTTACTTTTTATTAGTTTTTTATTTTGTAGAAGAGTGGTTTACAAACTTTTTGGTTGCAGACCACCTTAATTTTTATTATCTTGGTAGATCACAATGTTTCCTTTGTGATTATGCAACATTCCCATGGACCTCCTGAAAAGAGCCTGTGAACTATAGTTTGAGAACCACCGCTCTAGAAAATTTTAGTTTGTTTTATACTGAAACAAGAAAAATTGTTTACATTTACGTAATATACATATAAATATTTTAGAAATGAGAGCTTACAAGGTTTTATTTTCAAAGGAATATTGACATGAATGTCATTTCTAGTTTCATAATCTAACCTTGTGTTAAGTAATTACCTTGTTAGAAACTTGTACTATTATCTTGTATATATAAATTACACACTTCACTATTTATCTGTGATAAAGCTATTTACTAATCTTCACACAAGTTTTTATTAGTTGTACAAAGTAAATGCAAAACATGTTTATTTTGTTTGCAATATTTTATTAGGTTTACTATGTTCAACTGATAACAAAACAAAACAAAAAAACTTGTGCTAATTTTAAATAATATAGTTCTTTCTAATATTTAATTAATTTACACATCTGTTTGTTTAAAAAGTTCAAAGCTCTTTTTAGAATAAAGCACCTGTCCTTGATGAGACTTATGAAATTGAAAAACTATAACAAAGAGTTAGTGAATACTGTAAGTGTTATTTTTCAGAAATTCTCTTAATATTGGAAATTCCTAATAATAGGAAGATTTTCAATGCAATCTTTATTTTTCTAATGGTGTAGGAAGAAGCTGGAAAACTGTAGGCTTATTAGTTGGACTTTTGTTGTTAATAAAGTTTTGGAACTACTGTCAGTAGTAACTTAGAAAAACATTTGATGATTCCTAGTATGGTTTTTAAATTCTTTTTCCCTTATCAATTTGTTAAACTACTATCTTTTTAGGTCAGGGTTTTCAGTTTGTTATATCTCTTGACTTTTCAAAAGTCTTTGAAATTATTTATATATGTGAATGCTTATGAAATTTATTGAATTATTAAAAAGTAAATAGAAAATTGGCTTAATGATAGAAATTCATAAATTGTGATAAGTGTTTTCCATTCTGGAAGAATGTCACTGGTTGGATCTTGTGACTTTTATATTCATTATGTATGTCAATATTTCCAAACGATACTAACAAGTTAAGAGAGGCTAGCTCTACTGAAAATATATTTAATATTGAAAAAGACCCTAACATTTGTAACAGAATGTGTAAAATAGGTATTGAGAAGTTATGCATGTAGAGTGGTTGGAAAAAATGTCTTATGAGAGAATCATTTGTGTCATGAAGACTTCTACTGAATGTTTAACTGTGGTGAAAATGGCAAATAGTTATTGGTTCTATTTGTATTTATCTAAGTATGTGAAAACTGATGTAAGATTATTTATAGCCTCATTGAAAGAACTGTATTTTGTGCAGTTTTTGTCCTCATAATTCAATAAAGGATAGAAATATTTTATAAAAAGAAAGGAGATGAATGTTATAATGACTCTTAAATTAAGTCGTATAAGTTTTCTCTAAAAGTGTATAAAAATCAAAGGAGACTATTTAGATGTTCAAAATTGTTGGAGTTTTTACATTCATTTATTTGGTGTATTTGAGTGATGGAAATGAAATGTTGGAAATACATGTATAAATATAAATGTTAAGTGTATTAGGTTTAAATTTTGAAATCCAAGATGCAGATTTGTCTTTTGAGAAATGTTTTTGTTTGTTAAGAATTTAAAAACTTCTGTGATGGTTTGTCTGAATACATGGTTTGTACTTTAGCTAGTATTCTTTGAAAAGTTTCTTAGATAATTGTGTAAAGTAATTAGCTATATTTAGCATAAGTGTATTTCCAATTTACTATCTGAAGAAAGAACCTAATCACCTTCCAGAAGTTCTGAGGTTTTCATGTTTCTTATGCTTTATTTTAACTTAGATTTTGTTTTGATGATGAATGTTGACTTGAAGAATTGAATTACCTCATGTCATTACGGCTTATATTTTTAATAATGTGAGAAATAATAGAATGATAAACAAGTGAGGACAGAAAGCATGTTCATGATGGTTTTGTGGAGGAGATAAACAATTTTGTTTTCATGTTGGATGGTGCAACTGTTGGGTTTTTATCCATCTTTTATTGTATATGCATTAGTATAAAATTACATCATGTGACAGTAATCATTTTATTTTTGTAATTATGAACCTAGATTTTTTTATCAATTCTTTTTTTAAGTACAACCCACATTGTTTATTATAAACAAAAATTACTTGTAGTTGGATTTCTGTTTACTTTTGCTGTATGTACTGTTGTATAGAATGATGTGTGGTAATTTTCATTACTGTCATGATACAAATATGTAAAAAAATGGGCAAATGTATATTTTTATGTTAGCAAAACTTAAAAATGTTTTCAAGAGGAAATGAGTTAGGAAAATTGATCCATGGAAGTAAAATTATTATGTAATATCTACAACAACTATTTAGGCATTGTATTGAATTTAAATATTATGGCCGGGTTCTTTTAATTGCACCTCTTTTTCTGGCTCATTTGTGATTTTTCCATCTCGTTCTGCTTGATGTCCAAGAAGCCTTTTACAATTTTCCTTTAGAGGTCCCTTTTATGCCATTTTCGGATGTCCATCTTTCACAATGTGGTATCACATCATCTTCATGTGTGAGATCTGTTTGATCTCTTGTTTGACCATCAGGTTTTCATGCATACTAGCTCACTTTCTGTCTCGTTCTTGCTGGTCTTCCACACTGGCTCTTTATCAGTACAAATGGATCGTTTACCACTGCTGTTTCTTCTCCCACTCTCTTCCTGGGTTGTTCTACCCTGCCCCATCTCACTGCCTTTTTACCTGACTTTTTGAACAGAGGCTTATTTGTGTCAACAACCACTGGTTATAGTGCAGCTTTGTTCACAACCTTTTGCATCATACTTGACCCTTCTCCCCTTTTATTCTTTACTTACAGACCTCTCAAGTCCTTTCTCATTAGTTGTCCCTCTTCTGGACTGGAACCTCTGTGTTGTTCTCCAGGCTTTCACAACTTTCCCACTTGATTCTTTGGCTTCCTGTTTCATCTTTCACTTGTTCCTGAAAATGTATTTCTCCATCTCCTGGTCTGTGGGAGAAGTCTTTTGGACATTCATACACTTTATTACAGAGATCAGTTGACTTTATTTCCAATTTTTCAGGCTGCTTCTGTCTCCCAAAGCCTTGGACTACCTGTGAGAGTGTTTGTATGTTTACCCCATTACACTCCTTTCCACTTCTTCTTTATATAATTGTTTCAACTCCAATTTTACCTTTGTCTAAACCTTGGGACTGAGGCAATTTGTTTGCTGCCATTTAGAAGTTGGTGAGTTCAGTGATTTAGAGAAGGGATTTTTCTGAATTCCCTGGGTTCATTAAGGGGGTGGGGGGAAAGGATTTTACCTTTAAGTAAACCTCAAGACTGAAACAATTTGTTTGGTACCACTCGGGAGTCTTTGTGACCATCTGTTTAGGAGAAGATATGTGACACACACACACACACACTGAATCTTGTCATATAGATTGAGCAAACTAGAAAGAATAATTTTATGTAACTATTTTGAGAACAGTGTATTATAATACCCTTTTAATAAACTAACTTATAGAAGTAATTGTTAAATAAAGTGAAAATGAGACATTGGAATTTTGATATATATGTATAGTAGGAACTTTGCTGGTGCTGGCTAGTTTAAGTATGCATTAATCAGAATAAGATTATTTGTATATTAAATTCTTACTGTTAACTATAGCAAATCTTCAAGTGTTTTTTGTTTTTGTTAGGGACCAAATGGATTTGAAGAGCTGAGAAAACTGGTAAAACAAGGAGAAGATTTCTGTAAAGAAATAACTTGTGTTCTGCATGAAAGGTGACTGCTACTTTTAGCCTTTCTCAATATTTTTTTTCATGTAGTATATTCTTTTAAGTATATATTTGTTGGCGTTTGTGAATTTAAAGGTTTGAGTAATTTTGTTTTTTGTTGTAAAACATAGTGTTTACATATAAATTATACAAGTTAGGCCTGAATATTACCTATTATTGGCAATACAAAACATGCTTCAATGGAACTTTCAGGTGAACGATTATATAATTCCTATCATATAAAACTTTTGTATTTGGTTTGGACCACAAATCTTGAATTTTATTGGTTTTTATCCTGTGGCATGTGAAGTTACAGTAAATTCATGATATGTATTATTTGTGCCCATTTTTTGCAAGCAAGTTTTTGTTTCAGTTCTAGATTTACATGTATGTGTATATGTGTATATATATATATATATATATATGGAACATATCAAAGGTTGTTTAGATACATTCTTTTTTGGTAACCTTGCAGATAGCTTAGACTTAAGTAATTTTTAGGAAAATGAGAGAGAAAAGAATGAAAAATATAAGTGTTTATTTTTAACATTAAATATTATTTTCATCAGTTTATTAATTTGACAGTTTGCAGGACAGAAAAAGTATGATATTTCAAGGCAAATTTTTAGCATACAACTATAGAAAAGAAAGTGTTCACATGGTTGTACTGATATCAAGCTTGATGAAAGACATCTTTCTAAAACATTGACATAAAACATCTTGTTTTTGCAGTAATTTTTGTATAGCGTGGTGGAGTATAGAAAATATACTGTATACTTTGTTCAGAAATTTTTATTACTTAAGTTACTTGTATGTACAACCTGACAAATTACATATACAAGTTTTTGAAGCTCATATCAATATGCACCTGGTTTTCACACAATAGGATTTTTAGGTAGTTGATAGTAAATAGAGCAAAACTATTTATCCTTCATCAGGTGATACTGTGTATGCAGTTCTTAGTATTAAAGTTTTAAGTGAATTGCCGTATGTTTTTGGGATACAATGACTTATGTAATTGCTTTCTTCTTTTTCTCTTGTGAAATTCCAGGAGACACATTGCTTACACTTTGTTGTTGGTCAGCTGTTATATGTCTAGAAACCTGACTTGTCTGTGATTCATTAATGAAAATAAAAAAATTATCTGTATGTGCAAATAAATATCTATACATTTGTTATCACTTGTATAATAAAATGATTTTTATTATTATTCAGTGACAATGTGTTTATAACGCAACTTTTTCCAGATAAGTCAAAATACTTCTCTTCACCCATTTTTTTTTATTACATGTTATAAAAAGTATTTCATAGGACAACAAATGTTTTTTTTATGTATGTTCATTACTCACTGAAAATTAATAGAAAATGTATGAAAAACTCGTAACTTATAACTTTTTTAAAGTTTTATTGAAAGTACTTTGCTTTAAAATGGTTAAATAATACTTACATACACGCAAAAGTTTGTGGCATGCTGTGAAAAGTATATTTCATACTAAAGCTAATTTAATGCTGTTATAAGAATGAAATACATTTCTACTAAATTGTATATGTAATGAAAACATTATTGGCTTTCTACTATTCACAATAGGTGGGGTCCATCAAATTGTGTCACATTGCATAATTTTTTATGTTACAACACTTGTTAAAAAAGCAAAAAGGTTGTGTGAAATCACTCATTTTCTATGAGAAATATACAATGCATTTCAACTATACTTAATGGGATTAACTGTGATGCTGAAGACATTTTTGTTCAAATTTGTGTATGTGACTTGTTTGTTATTAGGGACCCTGTAACTAAGTAATAGACCCACAAACAATCTAGTTATTAAATAATTTTGGAAAATGAGTTTAAAAAATCTGAAGTTCAATCTCAATAGTAATTCTAGGGTTAAAGACAAGGTATTGTAGTAACTGTATATATAATGTGAGGTGAAGCACTGTGCCTGTATTCAACTTCAAATGTACATTTAATCATATAGTTATTAATTGGGAAAACTATCACATTATTTTAAGTTTTGACAGCACACTTTTCTTCTTATGAGTTTAGGTAAACTCCTGTAAACATTAAGATAACATCTTGTTGAGTAAGCTGATAGAAAGGTTTTTAGCAAATAGAACATGATTTTGAGTAAATACTCTGGCTTAAGAAACCCAAAATTTTTACATACTTGTAAGACTTTGCATTGTTCTTTCAGAAACTGAAGTTGTTAAAAGAAACATACAGATGTGCATGTTGTGTAAGACTATAAAATTTTATTTTTAATGGGTAATAAGATCAAAAACTATTAGTTACTTGTAGATATCAGTAAGTGTAACTTTCCTGTAGTCTTTTGTATGTATTACCATTAAGTGATACTACCTACTCTGGAAACCAGATTTTACTGTTTAAGTAGGAATTGTTAAAATGTTCATGTTTAAGTAGGTGTACTGAGACTATTTATACTGATAAGAATGGAATACGAGTACCAGTTTGTACATGGTAATGTCTTTGTTACATACACTTTAAATACAGGTTTTATTTTATAAAGATAAATAATTACTTCTAGGAAAATAAACTGGTTTAAGTTAGGGCATTATTTGCAAAATACATATATATATGTAGTCATAATAACTACTCAATAATGTTAAAGTGTATGTTTAGAAAATATAACACTATATTATGTAAAGTATAAGATGTTTCATTTGACTAGCTACATTCAAAACACTTTTTTTCACAATATGGAAATTTGATTTTTATATATAACATATTGTGAAATTTCATGCATGTTCTTATCTATAGTTTTGAAAGATTTTGTATTTTTAAACTAGAGTATTCATTGATCATGTCCTACAATAGGATTTCATAATTAGTTTAGTGGAACTTGTTTTTGACTATTATAATATTAGACTTGGTCTATGTGTACAATTTCGTAGCAACTTTACATGCAGCTAGTACACTGTATAAGTAATGATTTTTCAAATAAGAAGCTTCACCTAACTTTTAAAGCAAGTTAGACTTAATAAGCTTATTAAGAAGTTAAAATTTATGACCTTTAAGATGCCATCTGTATCACTGTTTAAACTTATTCTTTACTAATTATAGGATTGTTTTAATTTTATGGATATGACACTGTAGAAGTATGGTATATCAAGATTTGGACTCGGTTATATATAGGTATTAAAAGTATTTTTCATTATCAGTTGAATAAAGTATTGCATGTAAGATGAGTAACAAAAAAGACTTCACATTTCCAGTGTTGGTAAGCAAAAGTATTAATGTCTACTGTTCATTTTTGATACTGTATGGTAAGGTAAGGATATTTGGATGTTTTTTTTTAAATTAATTTCTAAAAAAAAAAAAAGTTCCCTTAGATACATGCTTGCTTATACAACATTAAAGAATACAGTTATGCAATTATAATTAAAAAAAATAAAATAGTATGAAAAACAGTAAATTAATACAATTTAACACTTAAGTAGCCAGAGTTGGTGGATACTGCCAGTCATTTGCCTTCTCTCTTGTCAACAGTTCAAAATTAGTGACAGTAACAGATAATAGCTTTAGTACCTTGAATTACGAGGTTTCTCCCTCCACCCTGAATCACCAGACCATGCTTTTCCAAATGAAGTAAAAAAACAATTTTTTTTGCTAAAATTCGGTTTTGATACATTCAGTGAGAAGAGAATAGATAACCTGTTATTTAGCTTTGCGCTTAACAACAAACAAACAAACAAACAAACATAATGGCAATATTATTAGTACTTGGATAGTTGGAAGAATCAAAAATAGTAATAAGTGGAAACATTAATTTCAAATTGATTAATTTCATGGCAGTTAATTTAATTGTAAATGTTATCAATCAGTTGTTAGAATAATCGACATTTGTAATAATCAGAACAATTAATTTTGAATATTTGATTATGTAAAACTTTACATATACTTTGTGTCTAAAATATCACCAATAGAAAATTCAGAATTGTAGTTTTACATTGGTTGTTTTACTTGTATGTGTTTCTTTTACATGTATTCCCCTACAGTTTCACACCTGTGGTCATCTTTGATTTCTCTCTACTTATACCAGTTGTTTTTTGTTGCTTGGATCATTATTGTCCTAAGTTTAGAGTTCAATTTAAATTCTTGAAATTACCTTTCTTGTTTGGAACTATGTAAACCAGACTTAAATGCCTCCCAGTGGCTCAGCACTAAGTCTGAAGGAGTATAACTAAAAAAAACAGGTTTTGATACCCATTGTGGTTACAGTATAGATATCCCATTTTGTACCTTTGTATTTAACAACAAAGAAACAGTGACATTCTAATCATCAGACCTAAGTTAAGTTGAAAGAAAGTTAATATTAACATATTTTAGAACCAATCAGTGTCTGTATGCTCTTTATGAAGGCGTAAAGCTAAAACAGTGAGCAAATTAAACAACTTGTAAAATTCTCTGGAGTTTGCAATCATTTTATTTGTAATAACATGTACTATGTTTCAGTCATCATTACATACATAAAAAAATGTGTAACTGTTGTGAAGAAACATGTATTTCTTTAATGATATGTTATTAAAAATTGAAGAGCTTAAAAATATTTTTTTAATTAATGGCTGTTTGTGATTTGTTATTGCAGCACCATATTATGTACAAGATTTGAAGGTTGTAAAACCATAAAACTCATGTGTGGGTGCATGCATGTGTGTGTGCACACCTTGCTTTTACCTTCCAATTGTACTGTATATCTTGTAAAATGAACTATAATTCAGGTTGTCAATTTCCATATTGTGATATAATTGGCATGCATTTCTTCTTACATTTAATAGAATATATTTAGGTTTTGAAAATGCTTTAGGTTTCTTAATCCAGATTTGAAAAACATTTAAAGATAATGACAGATGTCTTCCAACCAGTGATAATCTAAGAGCTCATAAACACTGTAATTTGGGGTTTGATTCATGTGGTAAATGCAGCACAAATAACTCCTTGAATGTTAACAAGCATGCAAGATCCTGTACAGTCTACAGTAATTTTCTGCATGCTTTATAGTTTGATGAATATTAATTTAAACTTGCATACATATATATGTTTTGTTTTTGTAGCTTTGTAATGATTTAAGTGAAGATTGAATATAACTGATTTATAAAAAAATTTTATTCTTGTGTTAGATCTGATTTGGAATTCCACTATGCCAAAAACCTGAGTAAAATTTCTGCCAAAATAATGAAAGCCTCTAAAGATGCTTTAGGGTAGGTATGATATAATAGTAATGTAAGTTATTAATTAAAGTTAGAGCTCTGACTGTGACAAACATACACTCAGCTAGCAGGGAATATTTTGTATCATGTACTTTTGATGCACTTGTATGAATTTTAAGAGAAATTACAGTGCTTTTAATCTGCCTGCTGTTTTTTATTAAAGCTAGTTATTTACAGCACCCACTCAGAGCTTTTAACGTTTCATATATACACTTGTGTTTTGTTTTCCATAAAATATTTTTTCTGTGTAACAGACCAAATGCCTAAGTAAGGAAATAGTATGAATAGGATTTTTTTTAACTTTTTCCTTTTAAAAGTAAAACCTTTAGTTTGAAGAGTGTACCTTCCCTTTTCTTTTTAATAGTTTTTTTTATGTACTCATAACTGAAATAAACTTTGAATCCTAAAATTTGTAGTTTTGTAGCATTCATTATCTTTTTATTTTCAGGGAAGTTGATATCGTTGGATTGTGTAAATTTGATTTTGTATGTTTTGGTCCAAAAAAATTTTTTTTATGTGTGTGATTTCAGTGTATAAAACTAAATTTTACATTCTGGTTTGAAACTGGGAGATTTTTTTTCATGGAATCCACATGTACTTTTATTTTGAGTATCAGCTGAGATTTGGTAAAATTCATAATATAGGACAACAGCCCAAACTTGGCTAGAAGCTGCTGTCATCATGACCCATGAATCGGAACTTCACAGGTACGAATATTCTGAATTTCTTTGAAGATAAAATAATTCTTTAGGGCTTTGTTTGAATATATGCATGTGTGAAAAATGATAGATTTATTATCAACATGGATAAAGAAATGGTAAGGATAGTGTTAGCAAGACATTTTTAAAGAAATGTGTAGAAGCAAGTTATATTAATGTTCATATGCTCCTTCGTTAGTTTTGATACGAGCTCTGAGTAATATCTAATTTTAGATATGATTACACGTGTACTGATAAGTCTTTTTGTATGTAGATTGTTTGCTTCTTTACCAGGTATGGAGGAAAAATTTCAACCTACATGTATTTTTCAGTCTGATTTGATGTTACTAACTCGGGCCAATATCAGTCCTAATAATTGATTTTGTGCAATTCGAGCATAAGGGAAAAGATAAATTTGTTTTGATTAAGATTATTTTGGATGTGCAACAAGCTTGCAAAGTACTTGCAACTGATGCATCAAGTGGAAAATGATTTTCTGTAACAAATGCCCACCTCTTCACATAGAACAGCTTATTCTTTTCTTGAGTTTGCTTGAGCTGGCAAAAAAAGTTGTAAGCCACCAGCTTTATGAAAACCCCGACCTAATCTCATGTGAATTTGTACCATTGCATGGTGATGTAATCATGCAGCAGGACCCTCCACTAATAGGAATGCGACACACCTCCATGCATGATGAATCCTAATTTTCCTTGGCACTGTCTTGAACAAACATTTTTTTTATTAGGCATACAATATTTTGAACATGTGACAATCTTGCAAAGTATTTGCAATTGATAGGTGGAAAATGAAGTTTTATAATACATAATAAAAACTTGGTAATACCAAAAAACTTCATTACTTACAGACATGTAATTGTTTGAAATTCTGTCATCAGTGTTAAAACCTCAAGACGTTAGTGTACAATATTCTAACGACAAGAAGCAATATTAGCTATTAAGTGAGTAATTTTTAATTTAATCAAAAGCTTAGAAAGAAAACAGATATCATTCACAATATAATTGAATGTAAAACATGGCATACATAATATTGTCAAGAGAAAACATTACAAAGAAAAACTTAAATATAAGTATAAACACTGCATCTTTAAAAAAGGAAAAAAGATCAAATACAAATTCTGAGAATCTAGAATCGATTAGATTAATGACAACAGGGACAATTTGATTTTGTTATTTAATGCTGGATATTCATTAAAAGTTCATTATCTGTTCCAGAGTCAAGAATTTTCAAGAAGGTTGGGGTGGTTCTTATTCTCATTATGTAACTGGATACAAGACTTGAAAAGTTAGTTAGCTTGTATCTATTTTTAGATGAAATTCCCATGTTCTCAAATGTGACTTGTAGTTTTACCAATATAAGTAGCTTTACAGCTACCACAAGTGTTATCTATATATGATCCACAAGTTTACAGGGATAGATAGTGTCTTTGGATTTAAACAAATTACAAGAACACAAATGGTAGGATATGGCAGAAAAATATGAATCAGATTTTGAAAAATGAAGGCTCCAAAATGTATAGAATGTTTAATACATGTATGTTTAAGTATACCTAAAAAGAAAAAAAACTTAATTTTTTGTACTTCATGGTTTTTGCCTTTAAGTTGTTAAAATTGAGTAGTATTTCAAATACCTTCTACCTCCTCTATTTATTTTTATTTATTTAAACATAGCCTACCAGAAAGAATGCTATGTTTATTTAACAAACATGAAACAAAGAGTACAAGTTTATCAGTGAATGTTCTTTGTAATATCTAAGGCAGAAACAAAGTTACACATTTTATTGACATGTGAAACCTTAGCTAGTGGGATTACACACCACTCTTGGCACAGAATTTGAATGACGTGTCCCTAGAAGTTGGGATATATTTGTAGGGAACAATCAGGATGAATTGTACATGCTTGATAGGATTAATGTCCAAAATTTGTCCTGACTATAAGTCATTGTTTTGTGACTCAAGCTAAAAAACCAGGAGTCTCTCCTTGTTTTATACACTGTCCTATCTGGTAAGCTGGTCATTGAGGCACACATAGAAAGAAGGCCTTGCCAAAGAATTGTGGCAGCAGTAACTGTCCCCTTGTGATCTACCAGCTGTCACTGTCTTCCTGCCCAATTGACACCAACATAACAGAAATACTGGGATAATAGTTGCCAAAGCCAGGTGTGGCCATAGCTCCAGAATTGTGAAAATATTAACTCATAAGAAAAATGTGTGTCCCAAAAGCCAGGAGGGTGTAATATCTATGATGTCACTGCTGATGATATACAATGTTCCCTGGAGTAAGGAGTGTCTTCCATATTTAGTAGTGCCTGTTTAATATGGATTATCTCCACAGTTCTTCTCATAACAGAGTTCTTTCTATTGATTTGGGATGCTTGGGAAATGCAGAAACTGTTTTCTATTGTGAACTTTTGCCATCTTTATTCATTGTAGACAGCAGTACTGAAAGTCAAGTGAACTTTTGATTTCTCTAATTTTGACTGCCATCACATCATCTAAGTATATACTCTTATAAAAAAAAAATATGGTTAATTTCCAGGATCCTTTTGTTCATGGCATGTCTGTTTATAGATTATGTGGTCTTTAATGAGCTATAACTGTTTTTGTGTTCAAGTTGTTTGTATGAAGCTATGCGATAGTTGATTTGTATTTTTAATGTTGTTGCATTTAATTATTTGTAGGTTATGTGTGTGTGTGGGTGTATATAATATGTATTTATGATTGGGGCAAAGTTCCACATTGAAGTTTAAATTTCTGTAGAGAAAGAAACCTGTATTTTTTACATTTCAGGAAAATTGTTGTAATTTCTAAGCCCATCTAAATGTTAATCTCCATTTGTAAAAGATCCAGGACTAATCATCTTTAATGCTATTTTGGAACATAATTGCAAGAGAAATAAGCATAAATATAGCCTACCACTACAATAATTTTTATTTTACAGTATGTTTTACTCGTATGTTACCTTATTCTTCTGATAAAGTCCTACCACATTGAAATATATTTACCGTATTTGCCCGAATATAATGCACCCCCAGAATATAATGTGCACCCAAAATTTGAAAGGTTAGATTGAAGAAAATGTGTTTTTGTTTTTTATACAGAAGAGTTGTACAAAATGTATTGAATAGTTTCTAAATACAATAAACAACTATCAATGTATTAAACATTTTTGGAAATCTTTCATTGAATTTTTTTTTGTCAATTTTACAAAATTTATTGAAAAGTTTATACCTGGTAATACATTAAGCTAATTGTTCATCTTCACAAAAGTCTTTATCATCCCTAGAATTGTTGCTACCATCAGATTCATCACATTCATTGGTTTTACATCCTCGAACCTTTGCTTCTTCCTCTTCTGATTCCCACAGAATGTAGTCATCCATTCCATCCATTGTATTAGATATGCAACATTTTTTGAAAGTCAATGATATTTGGTAGTAGTTTCTAGTAAAATATGTAACAAAATTGAATATAATGTGCAGTCAATTGTTCGAGAGGTATTTGGAGGGGAAAAAATTGTGCATTATATTTTGGCAAATATGGTATCTCTTTAACTCTTTCAGCATAATCATTTTGTGCTTGTTATAGTTTTCATGCTATAACTTTTAAATAAGCAAATGTTAACGAAAATTGGCAGATTATCAGTAAACATTACAATGCTTTCATACATAAAATATCAATTTTTTTTTATTAAGTCTTAAGGTTTGTAAAGCAATATTTTTCTCATGTCTTTTGTTTTGTTTTCTTTTTGCATGTTGCCTATCTATCATGCAAAGTAATATTCATTTTAAGATGAAAACTACTTTTATGCTTCAGAAAATTTTGAAATTTCACATGCGAAAATGTTTCTTAAGAAAAAAACTGTATTCTATCTGTTGTTTTCATTAATTAATCTCGGTGGATTTGACCGATCTCGCAACCACCATAAAAAAAATTAGGAAATAAATATAAATTATGCTTCTTTCATTCTAGATTAACACAAATTATAACACAAAAACATAAATGTTTAGACCAAATAGCTTAAATCTCATAACATTATACATTTATATATATATTTATTATTTTCATTATATTGACCTTTTAGCTGTGCCTGGCTAACAGTACAGAAGTTACAATGACAAGGCTTATGTGCACTCATGTTACTGTGTCAAATAACATAAAACTGACCTTTTGTCTGTACAAACTAACTTGTCTTAGCTGTGTTTTAGTAGACTAGTATTTTGTAAAATAGTCACATTTCAATTGTTATACATTATATATGTATATAGGTTATTGTAATTTTGAAATAAGTTCTTAAACTTAGTTTTCTTAAACATAGAACAGTAACTCAAGAAGTAAAGCAAACAATTATCTTTTCTTGTTACGACCTTTGTACTTGGTTGCTGCTTGATGTAGGTTGCTAAGCCTTTAAAACATTTGCACATGGAGGATATGAAACAAAATATTTTATTAGGTTTTTATATATACCTATAAATAACTAAAAAAAAAAATCATAAATCATAAATTAATACCATAGAATTCCACTATAATATATCAAGCTTAGTAACTAAGATATATTTTAGTCTAAAAAACTATGAAATTTCGAGCAGACTATCCGGTTGAAATATTGGTTCAAAAAAAAAGAAATGGTGCCAAGACTGTTAAAATGGCTGAGAGAGTCACTAGGGGGGACATTCTGAGCTTCTGGCTGGTTATTCATGTCATATATAGAAGTAAGTGTATATAAGGGAGTGTTTTCAAAAATGAAAAAAGGTGGGCGGGGTGCCACTGTGTTTGATTCAGTACATGATCAATATCATATGAAATAGAAAAGATAGGAGGTTCTTATTTTATATTCTAGCTTGTCAATATTGGTAATTTGAGCTCGTAATTCATACGAAACTATAGACTTAGTATTTTGACATCACAAATATCTAACTTGAACCAGTGCTGCATTCAACGTACCAAATGACACAAAAATTTATGTTTATCTGTGTTGTTTTTAATACTTGCTTTTAAATTAAGAAATTGAGTAATTTATAGTACTAAAATTTTATTTATAATCTACAATTTAATACCAAAGTTATTGACATAAATTCATGAAATAGTAGTTCAATAAAATTTTGAATGCGATTCAACAAATTATATGACATGGCCTTACACCCGTTACCCATCTCAAAAGGGTTAAGCAACTCTTCTGTGAGCTAAGATTAGGGTATTTGTAGTCTTGGCTCCACCTTTTCTTAATTTGGATGGGTATATGGAGGAGGGAGGAAAGTCAAGAGACATATAACGTGGAAAACCTAATAAAATGTGAATGATAGATTTGGGGGGGTGAATTATGTGTGTTACTGTACTGTATTTCATTATAACCATGAAAACTGATATGCTGATATGCATAAATAGTAACTTTTTTGGACATTTTGCTTTTTTTTTCGGATGAAGAATATATTAATTTTTTAATAATTCAGTAATTTCAAATGCTATTCAAATAATGGTAAAATGCATATTTTTTTTATCAAGTTTTTATCAAGCAACAAATTTATAATTGTTTTTGTTTTTACGTGTCTCTGTATTTTTTTATAGTTTAAAAATCATATAGTGAAATAAAAACTCATTTTAAGATTTATGTCATTTTGATATCTGCATCAATAGATACGATTATCAAGATAAATTGTATGTTGTATGATACCAGAACAATATTTGAAACTTATTTTCAGGTGTTTGGCATCTGGAATTGTAGAGGATGTTGTGAAGCCATTGAAAATGTTAACTGATGGTCAGCATAAAACAAGAAAACAGGTAAGAGAAGTCAGCGTGTGAGAAAAGTAAGAAATTTATTAAAAGTGGAAAATACACGAGTAACATTCTAAAATAAGAAGAAAGGATGTTTTCTTATAAAGTGGATGGGCAAACAAATACAGAGGAAAATAATTTTGTAATCGAGCTCTTTTTAAAACTTGCCTAATATGCAGTATCCTTTGGTAGATGTTTATTCAATAAATTTCTTTGAGCCTGAATTTAATGTAGAATGTTTAGGTTTGCAATCTTTTTTTAGTTATTGATGTTGTAAAGTTGTTTGGTATTTTCAAAAATTTCTCTTTTTTTAATTTTTTAATGATAATTAATACAAAAGTATTTTTTTATATAAAATATACATACTCTGTGTTTGTAAAAATTAATAAAGACTGTTCACTGTGATTGTACACTTGTGTTCAGTCTCTCTTTATTTCTCACAGATTTTGGGATACACATCTTGACAAATCTCATTATTCTATAGATCAATCGTGTTACTCTTGGAGAAAATCAACATAACCAAGAATACCACAACATAATAAAAAAGTAGCAACAAATGGCTATAGTAATAAAACCACTAACAAAGAAGAAAAATCATGTTATAGTCAAGACACTAATAATAATGATAATCAAAAGGATGATATTTTAGTAGATATAAAATGGGATGCGTAGTAATGTTTTTTACATCTATAAGTGTATCATTTAAAAGTAAACTCTTCAAAGCTGCACAGAAATGAAAGTTGTAATATTTTCTTTATGTGAATTACATTAAATAAATGTTTCAAAACATTGATTTCAAACATTTCAGGGTTAAATACTGTTGCAATAGCTAGAATTATTCTTTTTACCTAAATTTTTAAATTTTATAAGCGGGTGTGCACTCAACACCTGAAAGGGGCTCACCAATCCAGACAGAGGTAACAGTTAAGTGAATTACGAACACTTATACATCAAGTTAATTCGAACAAATAGTAATACATTGGAAGCTTTGGTATATTAACAATACTGCTAGAGGGCAATAACTTGGCACAATGGCTGGTCACCTTTACTCGAGAGCTAGATCTAGAACTGCCTCTCTCTCGGGAGTTATTCCGGACTCATGTGATTGAGATCTTGTACCAGATTGAATAAGCATCACATTACTTAGTTGGTACTGTCATACTTACCCAGAGTGACTTGTACTACTCATGTGACAGGTCATTCCCATTGAAACATAAGGATGTCATAACCTCAAGGTATCACCTGATGACAATGGAAAAGATGACTATCTAACTTCACATATTAAGTACAACCTTACAATTATCTTTTTCACAGTAAGACCAAAGATGTTATCTCAGGTGAATGACACTTAACAATAGGCAGCTAGAGTGATAGTAACTTTCTTGACTAAGATGTTTTGTGGCAACTGCACACACACACACACACACACACACCTGCATAAATGAAACATTTTGAAAAGTTTTTATATTAAAATAAGAACATAAAACATGAATGATATGCCTATACATCATAATGTCATAGTGGTCTGAACATTTAATAATTAAGATTAGCTTTGAAAATAGCTATAGCCATCATTTAAATATGATTGGATAGAGCATATTATAAACTATTTACATTAATGAAAAGTAAGTAAAGTGGTTTGAGCAGTATTTTTTGGTTTCTTGTAGGGATGAACAAAGGAATCTAATAGGAATTAGAGAAGAGTTAGGAGCAATTCAGAGATCTGGGAATTATTTTTTAGTTTCTTTAGATGTTCTATTCATTATTGAAAACTATAGAAATTTTCTTCTTTGACAAGACATAAAGTAAGCTTAGATTTATGAGTACAGTGAACATTGGCAAAATATTCCAGAGAGTGAAATACTTTTTTTATTGAATATAATTGTTGCATTTATTGTATTCAAACAAAATACACACTAATATAGAACTTATTATTTATTTAAATTAAAAACAAACTATTTATTAGATTTAGATTGATATCAACCAAGAATATTTTTTACAAGAATCATGAAACCTAGCCTAAGAAAGGTAATGTTAATGCCTCTTTGAAAGAAGATATCCTAGGTCACCAGTAAATGTTTTTATTATTTTTATTCTGTATTTAATAGTATATATTCTATACATACAATGTTAAATAACTTATATCAAGGAAAGCCCAACCCTGCCAAAAGAGCACATGGAATTTAATCCATCAGTGCTCAAACTGGAATTATTTAGCACTTTAGAAACCTTTAGAAAAAATGCTTTTAAGTTCATTGTTTATATGGTGTAGATCGAGATGGTGGTGGACAAAACATCTAAGAGTCTTACTGATTGTCGTAATGAAGAAGCGAAGTCCCTGAAGCATAGCTACAATTCTACAAAGGAAAACGAAAAGTTGCAAGAACAGGGCTTAGAAAGTAGAAGTAGTAAAGGAAAGCTAGTCACAGATAAAGATATTAACAAGGTAAGTTTTATATTATAGAAGTGAAAGAAAAGCAGAAGGTATAGATATTTAAAAAAAAATATTGATTGCTAAAGGACTGGTGATTTAATGTGATTTCATATATATATGTTAATGGTCAGGAAAAACTTGGAGAAAGTCATGGAAAAGTCAGGAAATTTATTTTAAGTTCTGTATACACCCTGCTCTCCATGAATACAAAGTGTAACATTTATTTGTAATTTCAGAATGTATATACTTCACCTTGATGTTCAATTGTGATTCAGTTTTGGTTTTCAGTATAAGCATTTATCAGTTGAATATTGACAGGTGGACATACATGTATGTAGTGATTTTTATCTGATCCAAAATTCTATTTAGTTTAAGAAATGACATGGATTATGTGTTTCTTTTTCTTATATTTAAGTTCTCATGTTCTTATTAATAAAGTCTGCTAATAAAATTAATACAACAGAGCCTAACTTCTCTATAGAAATTTTAACTTTACTTAAAAAATTGAAAAGACTAACATTAATGATTGGTTCCTTCAATCAAGTGTCAATCATAACTTTTATAGTCAATTCCTAACACTAATAACAAGTAACACCTTCTTAAATGGAAACAATTAGGATTTAAAGACTATGTAGAATGTGTCAATGTTACACCATTTTAAGTACAACTAACCAAGATATCCTGGATAAGATATGCCATTTTAATCCCATATTGAAAGAACTGTCAGGAAGAAGGTGTATGATACTAATATCCTATTGAATAGAAGTGGTTATAATATCCTGAACAAGGCATACCATTTTAATGCCATATTAACAGCAAGTGTTTGTAATATAACAACTATGTGATATATTAATGCTATGTTGAGTGCAGCCGTCCTTTCCTAATATCCATATATTGAGACAAAGTGGCCCCAACATTTTGAACAAATGTATGCTATTGTGATATCTTATTGAAAGCTACTATCCCTTATTTTTTGAACAAAGTTTATTATTATGAGTTTAAAGTTTGTAGTGCAAATTGGAGAGTTCTTATTAATTGTTAAAAAGAAACCCAACCTATTACTCCAGAAAACATAATTGGTTTAATTTAAGCCAATATTTTGCCATTCATGCTGTAATGGTGAAATGTTGGGTTAACTAAAACCAATTATGTTTTCTGGAGTAATTGGACGTATTTTATTTCTCTTTTTAATGATGTTTTTTATTCTTAAGAACTTTTGACCAAAGAGAAGCAGACTGTATAGATCATCAATAAAAAGTAACTTATAAATGATCAAATGAAGTCAATAATGTATAACAAGGAACTAGAATTACTTTAATAATATCATAAACAAGAAAAATTATACAAATTAGAATGCAGTGAATCCTAAGTTGGTATTCTCTCTGTTGACAGTATTTTCAGCTGCGATTTGTTTGTTACACTTAAGAAATTTAGGTTAGTTTGCAACCCATCTACTATGAAAACTGTGCCAAATTATCTTTGTAAGTGTAAAAGGTGATTAAAAAAATACAGAAATTACTAAAGGAATGTGGAGTAGGTCCTTACTTACAAACCACATAAAAACACCAGTTGTTTGGTCCTAAGATCCACACAGCTTACCTATTCACAAAAAAATTCAATATTATATTGAGAGCAACTAATCCTAATATCCTGAATAGGGTATGCCAGTGTAAAGCCAGATGGAACAACTGGCCCTACTATCTTAAATAAGATGCGCATTGTAAATCATATGGAGAAACACTTCCACTAATATTCTAAAAAGGGTTTACCACTGTAGTTTTGTATTGAAAGTAACTGATTAACAACAAAAAACAAAATAAATATCTGTACAAGGTCTACAATTTAATTGTTTGAGAGAAACCATAATATCCTGAATAAGTTATGCCAGTGTAAAACCATATGGACGACAACTGACCCTAATATCTTGAACATTGTATCCCTTTATTGAGAATGACTGATCATATTACTCCAAACAAGTTGCCTCCCCCTCCCCCAGTGGCAGAGCACAGATAGCCCATTGGGTAGCTTTAAGACAATAATAGTGAACACTGTTTAAGCCTAGTTTTACTTTTGAAACAAGGTACAGTTTAAGATAAAGATAACATACTAACTTTTTTGTGTTTTTTTACAATTCATTAGGCTGACAATTGTGATACTGGTTTGTTGTCACTATAGGTTGTTAATTTTACTTTGGGGATTCTGAAGCAATTAATATTATATTCTTATATATTTCTAGTTTTTTAAAGGAATATTGTTACAGTAAGCATAAAGTTGTAGCAAGCTAAATTCATTAAGTCAGATAAATGGATTTTCTTCCTCATTTGTTTGGTAATTATCTATAAGGATAACATAAGCATTAGAGTTAAAACTAATTTTTTGTGTTATTTGTTATGTAAAACATACGGAGTAAAATTATTAGAAATTTATTTACATTCTTACCACTGTTTAGATGGAAAACAACGTAAAAAGCAGAGGAAGCTGTAGCAAAAGCAGACAAGGACTACTATGCAAGTTGTTTAAAGGCTGAGAGGGCACGACAGGAATGGGAGTCAGCTGTTTTCAAGGCAAGCATTCAATTTCAGAAGCTTGAAGAAGAAAGACTTGAACATATGCAAGATTTAGTACAGAAATATGCTAATCATGTCAGTGTTTTGGGTCCTGAGATGATTCAGGTAATTTTCATCTATTAAAAAATCAAAAAAAAAATTATCCCAGAATATAGTTTGTTTTCTTCATTAATAAATTCATTGGTCAGTTGAAATATTTGTCATCATCATAAGGATAATTTCTAAATTTATTGTATTAATACTAAATAACTATTTTCTTATATGAGCAGCTGGTTGCAGTAGTTTTTAATATCCCTTTACTTTTGTAATCACAGTCTGTAATGCTAAAAACTGGGTTTCGATACCTGTGGTGGTATCAGGTATTTTACTACTATTTTATTTATTCAAAAAACATGCACAAGTATCATTTTACTCATAATTTCACAGGTTATTCTTGAAAGCATGTAGAATACCAATAATTAAAAGTGAGAAAACATGAACTACCCACATCACTAATTAACTATACATAATATAGGTAGATTTAAATAATGTGGATGTTATCAAAGTATGTAAAAATTTGTATTGTTTAACATTATTTTTACTTATAATTGTACAGAAAATTATCACACCTGAATCTGAGCATGTTTTTTTTTTTTACTGTACAATACAGGGGTGTGAAATGTTAAATGCAGCTGTATCTAAAATTGATGTACAGGGAGACATCCAAGAAGCAATAAGATCTAGAGGAACTGGTCCTAATTCCCCTGAGCAGTTCCTACCTGACTTTTATGTAAGTATTGTGCATTTTAACCTTATGTGCATGAGTGGGTCAAGATGCTTATGTCACAATATTTTTACAGAGTTACACTCGAAATTTAAATGACTATTATCAATGTATCTCAGCAAACTTGGCATCAAAACATAGTTTTATAATTCAAATGTTAATATTATATAAGTTTTAATTTCAAAAGGAAATATTCGAATAAGTTCTAAGTCTTAACTTCTCTGCATTACACGACACTTTTTACACTGAATTGCCCATTTTACAGTTTCTATCTAACCCTGTATGATTATCTGAGTTTGGCACAAATTACGAACTTGTAGTATAGCTGTTTCTAAGCCATAATATAAGCTTATAGTTTTCAAGCTTCTTGCTTTACTGAAATATAAACAAAAAGGTCAAACCACGTTGAACCTCACCCATCCACGTCCTCTTTCACTCTCTCAAAATATGTTATTTCTCTGACATTTGCTATTGGAGTATTTATAATCAGTACAAAACATCTTACAAGGCTAGTTTGTTCAGGGAACAAATTTGGATGTATTTGGCACCAATTTTATTGTCGGTTATTGTGGTGCTTGTCTCAGTCAGCTAACAGAATTTATTGTAACCCATTTATAGCTTAGTTAGAAAGCCACTTAAATTATAGTAGTTTTAGGACATATATTTTTACATATGGTAATATTTTGGGTTCTGAAGTGCATATTTGAGATAGATTTTGCTACTGTTAGAGTTAAGGTAGAAAAAATGACAACAAAATATATAGTTTTTAAGAGGTTCTAAAGGTTATACAAGTGATATGAATACTGTGAGATGAAAAAATAATTTTTATTCTTAACATGAAATTTACATCAAACTCAGACCAGTCAGAATTTGAGTAAGAACAACTTGATAAGTACACAGATAAATCTTTAGTAAAAATACATTATTAAGAAATCTGATTTTTTGTGTACAGCAGACTTGTTATGTTAATTAAATGTTTGTCAAATTTTATTAAAAATACACATAGTAAATCCAAAACCAGTAAAAACTAATTCTATAATATGGGGTCAGTCCAAAAGATTGACATTTTTCACATAATGCTAATATAGCAGTTCTTTCCTTGAAACTCTCAATATTATTACAGTAGGGTCTTTAAGCTGACAAAATACTAAATTATTTTTTTGTTTTTAGTAAAGTTTGTACTATATCTATACATGCATCATAGTTTCCAGTCTTGGATTTCTTAAAATGAAACTTTGGGTATTTTAAAATCTAACATTTCTCATAATACTATGCACTATTAACTGTCAAGAAGCAGTACAGTTATTGGGAAAATAGTGCTGAAACAAAACCTTTTGGAAGTATATGATAGTTGCACAGTGTTCCAGATGATTAGTAATTCAGTATCATGGACAAGCATCTGTATGCTGGTTTATGTAAGGATTCAGTCATTTGATTTTATAAGAATTTGAATGGGTCACTATTATCTTGTTGTGTATTTGGCCTCAAGAAAGTGCTATAAAAATACATGCACACAATTTACATATTTATTATTTTTAATTTTCTTGATTCTCTGTTTGTATGGTTGTGAAAGCCTCACCCTTTTTCTCATACCACTGTCCCATATTTTAATTGCTGGACTGGAATAATACAATGAAATTTCTGGACCTAACATTACAATTCTCATTCAACAGCATCTTTGTAGCCTTCACAGAGCACCTGAATTTTGTCTTGAGCCTGCTTCATACAGAAAAGCCTCTTTCACAATCAGTGTTTGTTATACAAAAGCATAAAGCTATTTGACACAATTTTGACATGTTAGGAAATTGTTCACCATGTAAGTTTAAGAATCCTTTTGCACAAATGTTCAGTTATTTAGTTTTTATATGTGCTTTTCAATATGTCTTTAAACCTAGCCCATTCAATTTGTACTAACTCATTTTTGTTAAGCACGGGCATCTCTTCAGTTCCAGCATATCCCAGCATTGTTTGAAATTTGGTGTGTTTGTTGATTCCATAAAAATCTGTAAGAGCAGTAATAGTCACATCTGCTAGATCTTCATCAAAAATAAAAGGCTAAAGTGAGGATTCCAGATTATGGATGGTGTTTTCATCTTGTGTAAGACAGTCGGTGATGTTTTGATGAATTCAATGTCTTTACTAATCAGTTTATTTACTTTTGAAGGAGTTTTATCTGAAACAGAAAACTTTACATCTTTCATACACCCATCATTCTGTTCCAAAGTGTTCACCATCTCCCTGTAATTTACATCACTTTTTTTTAGCTCATCCGGTCTAGCTAAATTAGACTCAACTAGTGGTCCTGGTCTCAAGTAACTAAATACCAGATTTTTATGCTGAAATCCACAACTTAACACCTAAATTTCATTATGGACACCTAACATGAGGCTTGTAATTAAAGTTGTTTAAGTGTATGTGTGTATATAGGGATTTAGCTGTTGAATCTGTTGTACCTAGTTTAGAAACCGTTGCTACAACAAAAACATAACTACAATACACAGCATAATCTGCATTTCTTATGCTCAACTATATCAATGTGTGGTTCGTTGATTTGCAATTCTTTGTCATTGAAAATGCTCTGATTGTTATGCAGTTTTTCAGTTTGTACTGTAGAGCTGCTGAAGAAATAATACAAACTGCTTAATCTTGATTTGAAGGTTTCGAGTGATTTAATGTTTTTGATGGTATCGACACACCCCAGTGCAAGTCTGAGACATGCAGTGTGTCTGTGGACAAATGTGGAAAACTTTGACTTTATTTGCACACCTACACCAACTCTGTGACCTACCATGGGAGCAGCTCCATCTGCACATAAGCTTACCACTTTTTTCATGTCTACTCCTATTTTATCAAAGATATTCTTAAAGTTTTGGGTAATCGTATGGGCTTTGCTATCATTAAGCCCTACATTTCCAAGATAGGACATCTCAACATTGTCTTCATGCACATATTTTACACAGGTGACTAGCTTTTTTTCAAGTCCTAGATCACACAACTCTTCTGTCATGAAACCAATAAAAGTTGTGTCTTCTGAGAAGTTTCACAGTGTCATTACATAAACATTGATATGATCTTCTGCATTTCATTAATTGAGATCCAACTCGTATCTTTCATTTTAGTTTTCTAACCATTCAGGAAGCAAAAAATCTACTAGTGTATTTATGATTTCATTTGGAAGCTCTGACATTTTGCACATAAATTAATTGTTTTAAATACCAATTTATCAGACCCACTCACTTTATACTCAGATGTACAACCATCGCCATCAATTTCATCATCGCTATTGCTGTACTCCACAATTTCAGTTTGTCTTTTTTTAAAACTCATTCTTACTGCATCTAAGCGGTCACTGCTATAATTGTAACTTTTATTTGTAGAAATCTGAATACAAAGACAGCCAGTAGAACTAATCATTCTTCTATCTAACAACTTTACATTAGTGACAAAAAATGGATTTGAAGCCATACAGCAAAATAAATACAAATCAGAAAACACGTGTAATAAAAGAATAGAGATATAAACTGGTACAACATAAACATATTTGATACTGAATTTCAGATTGTTTTTAGATATCTAATTCTAATGTTATCACTAGAACTTTATTTTTTAGTCAGAAAACATGAAGAATTTCATGAGTGCAGAGAGAAGAAAAGAATCTTTACAGAAGTTTTTTCAAATGTTGAATAAAGACATTGAGATGGAAAGGAAAGGAATAGAAGGTAAATCAGAAAAATACAGTTTTGTTTTTTAAGTGAAGAAACAGATTTTTGGTGTTTACATATATAATAATGAAGCACTTTATTATTATTTACAAAATAATACAAAAAGAAGATAACATAATGAGTTTGTAGTTATTTGACATACAAGTTTCGAACAAGAATAAAAATAAATGAGTAATTACAAAAAAACAAACTACTGATGGACTATTTTAGCCCTTTTGCAATGAGTAGGTCAAAGTGTGCATGTCACACTCTTTTACAGAGTTGCATTCAAAATTTAAACTACTTTATTATCAATGTTATTATCGCATAGTCAGAAAATAACAAAAATTATGATAGTTATAAGACACTTGTCTGCTTTTTATGTTTTATTATTCTGTGTTCTTAGGTGCAGTATTTAATTAAATAAAAAATTTAGTGTTGTAGTACCATTAATATATAAAAGTAGACTTAAGTTTCATTAACAGTTGATAGCAAAAAAAAAGACCCAGGTACGTACTATATTTCCTGTTTTTCATGTGTATTTTTTGGTTTATTATTATAAAAGTAACTAAAATGTCAAAATTAGGAAGTTATTAAGTTAGATTAGGTAAGATAAAGAAAAATGCTACTAATAATAAAAATTCTTCAAGAGATATGATCATGAGTAGCTCGTACATTATGTAATTTGATAAGGTAACATGAGTTACACGTTTGCCGAGCAATTTACAATTGTGTGGCAGGATTATTAGTTAGACACAGTTCAAAAGGCAATAAAGTTAAGTATAAATAGATGTATTTTGTTACAAGCTAAACAGTTAGTTTCCTGGTACAATTTCAATTCCTTCCAAAAAGAAAAAAGAGTAACTTAGAATTATTTTTTTTTTTTTTTTTTTTTGTGGTGGTTACAAGGTTGATCAAATTGACTGATCCTCTATAGAGTTATAGTATAGAAAATAATAGACAGAATATAACTTTGTTTCTGAAAAAGTATTTGATATTTATTTAGGAGGTTATAGTGATTATGCAAATGAAATTTGAAAATCTTCAGATAAAGAAAAGTATTTTTAATCTTAACATGAACATCACTTTGCACTTGGAGCATTCAACACTAAAACCATATAATTACAAAGTTTTAGCTAAAAATACTTAATTAAAAAATTTTTGTTGTTGTTGTCGTCTACAAAAGACTGGTAGTTACGAGGCCATGTAAGATACATGACCCTGTTGCATCGGTGTTAAAGATTGATATTTTTGTTAAACCCAGTTGTCAACATACATTTTGTATAGTTAATATAATTTTCTTATAAATGATTTAGTAGCTTATTTTTATAGGTGTAGAAAATCTGGGAAGAGCATTCACTGAGACTCCTAATTTTGGTAATGAGGATGCACAACAAGATGTGGGGCAGAAACTTCATCAAGTAAGTAGATTATTGCTTGGAATATAATAGTTCATAATTTCCCTTCTGTTACTAACATAAAGTTGTGTAGGGAAACTTAGTATTCTAAACTTTTTAACTTGCGACATTTATAATCAGTATGAAAGTATCTCGTATGGTTGATACATTAGTATTTGTCATAAAATATATACAGTAGTAATGTTTTAAGAGGTTGTAGCAGTGATTTATAATCAGTATGAAAGTATCTCGTATGGTTGATATGTTAGTATTTGTCATAAAATATATATACAGTAGTAATGTTTTGTGTAACAATCTTTATATTTTAATAAATGATAATAAATATAAAATACTAAGTCTTTCAGAGTTGAACTTGTGGCTAAAGGGTTCATAGTTTAGAGATTATCAACTCAAAAACTATCAGTATTTAGTCACTGCTACAACCTCTTAGCTTCGTACAATGTTGGCTTATTTGGAAGCCACACGTCACAAAGTGGAATGTGCCCTTGCTGACCTTAATGGCAGAAGTAGACCAGCACATCCATTAACCACACATATGAAGCAGTACAGGGATAAACAAGTAAGTGAAATAATTAATATAACATTAATTTTTCAAGTAGAAAGTTTGTAGTTAAAAACTACAGTAATACTAGTGACCTGTTAAGCCTTTCATTACGGGTTGGTTGGAATCCACCCAGCTCGTAACCACGAAAGTATCCATGAGAGTGATTGTACTATGATTTTTGATAATGTATGCACATCGTTACAAAATTTTGCGGGTTATTGGTAGACTTTACAAGGTTTTTATACACAAAATATCAGGTTTTTAAATTAAGTATTAAGATTTTTTTAATTAAAGATTTTCTCACAAACCTCTTTCTTTCAGAATGTTGATTATCCAACATGCAAAGTAATTTTGATTTTATGATTAAAATTACTTTAATGCATTAGAACATTTTCAAATTTCACATGTGAAATCTTTAAAATCTCCAGATAACTATCAAATTTTTTGTAGAAAAAACTATTTTATTTGGTATTTTCACTTGTGTATTTCTGAACGGGTTAGTTTGATATGACCGACTTCTTAACCTCAATAAAAAATTAGAAATTTTTGTTCTAGAATGACTACAAATTATAACACAAAAACACAAGTTTTTAGTATAAATAGCTCAAATCTCATAACATTATACATTTATATATATATTATTTTTATTGTATTGACCTTCCAGCTGTTACAATAATGTTTGTTCATGTGCACTCTTGTTAGTTTATCCAATAATATATAACTGACCTTTAGTCTTTACAAAGTGACCTGTCTTGACTGTATTTTAGTGGACTAGTATTTTGTAAAATACAGTCACATTTCAACTATTAAGCATTATATAAGTATAAACATTATTTCTATTTACAAATAAGCTCTTAAACTTATTTTTCTTAAAACATACAACAGTCAATAAAGAAGTAAAGCAAACAACTATATCTTCTAGTATGATATTTGTACTTGTTTGCCACTTGTCGTAGGCTGCTAAGCCTTATGAAATTTGCTATG